AAAATTTCTATATGTGACACGGCACCAGAGTTAAGTTAGGGTTTTTCAAAATGCTGACACGCCGAGCTCAAAAGGTTCACCATCACTGTCCTAGACTCTTGAGATGGCATTTGAGAAAAACTTAACTCTTTCTTGAATCTACTTGGTGACACAGAGAGGCTCTGAGGCTGACTGGATTGGGTGTCTGGTTACTTCTTAAGCACGTGTAACTCTTCTTGGGTAGCTTAAGATATATTTTAGTTTCCTAGCTGAGGAATTCCTTCTGGTTTTCTCAGATCTGAATCTCTGAGATGGCCAAAGGGATAGTTCTCTTACAATATTAGTGGAAATGAGTTATAATTGGAAGTTCTTTAGTATTTTTGAGTGCCCCCATATCTTCATGAGAGGCAAGGCTAAGGGGGAAACACGAATGTAGAATCTATGAGGACAACTTCCTTAGGATCTGGAGGAAATCCATATTACTTTACCTGCTGCAGATTGCCTTATCCAAGCAGGTTTTTTTTTTTTTTTTTGGCTACCACATGCTATTTCCAAAGACAGGATGAGAGGGAATGGGCTTCAACTGCAGCAGGAAAGATTAAGGGCAGAGGTCAGGAAGAACTTTGGTTCTGTGACAACTATATATCAAGCAAGGCCAAGACCAGGGGATGTTTTGGCATTCCCTTGGAATTGTTAAAAGAACAGGACAGATTACTTCCTATGCTCACTCTAAACAGAAAATAGTGTGACAAAGGAAACAGCTTTGTGTTAGAAATTTCCTGTGCAGTACGAGCTGAGGACTGGGAATTGAGATTTGAGGCCGGAATATCTACCAGCAACTTCCTTTATGCAGACCAATGCTCAGGATGCCAACTGACCAGGGCAACAGGGAAGGCCATCCGCCCTTCCAGTTTCTGAGGGATGCTCATAGTTTCCCAGCTTCGGCGGGGCCCGAGGCAGCTGCCATGGCAGCAGGGTCCAAGTCCCTTGCATGAATTTTGTGCATCAGGCCTCTAGTAGATAGATAAAAGTGAAGTCTCAATGAACATTGTGAATATATTTCAATTTTTCTATAGAGAAAAGCCATGGATTATAACTTTTTATCTTTAAAGGTTACTTAAATAATACTTCATTTAATTTTCTTTTCTTTTTTTATTTTTATTTTTTTGTTAATCCTCACCCGAGGATATTCTTCCATTGATTTTTTTATTTTTAGGGAGAGTGGAAGAGAGAGGGAAAGACAGAGAGAAACGTCGATGTGAGCAAAACACATCGATTGGTTGCCTCCTGCACGAGGCCTGGGCTGGAGAGGAGCCTGCAACCAAGGTATGTGCCCTTGACCAGAATTGAATCTGGGACCCTTTGGTCCGCAGGCCGATGCTCTATCCACTGAGCCAAACTGGCCAGCGTCTTCATTTAATTTTCTGTGAATTTTAAGCAAGGTTATATTCTGAGTTAGTATTTTTTAATACCTGCTGAATTTTGTATTTAACTGATTTTTTTAAATTTTAGGTAACTTTTACGATATGTCTTTTTTAAATTGTCTTTTGAATAATTAATGATCAGATATAAAGAGTGAGTTATATAGCTTCAAAATATATGTAATTTTATAATTCTCATTTTCTTTTATGGAAAGCACCACAGCAGTAGGGAATAGACTAATATTTATGAGTGGCTACTATATTCCAAGGACCATACTACAACTTTATACATTATCTTATTTAATCCACACAATTCTTGACAACTTTTTTTTCATTCATCAAATATTGATTGATAATTACTGTGTGCTAGGTTCTAGGCACTGGGAATAAAACCAAGAATAAAACAAACAAAAATCCCTGTCCTTGTGAAATTTTTATTCTAATAATAATAAGAAAAGCAATAAGGACATTCACAAGTAAAATATATAATAGATCATGTGTTGGCAAATCCTATGGGGAGAAGCTGGGAAAAGAATAGGGAAGGCCAGAAAGAGAAAAGAAAGAGTGGTATTGCAGTGCGAAATAGGAGACATTAGAGCAAAGACTGCATGAAATCAGGGATCAGTCTTTGTGGATTCTGGGGTAGGAGCATTCCAAGTGGACGGAACAGCAAGTGAAAAAGCCCCCAGTCATCTGAATTGTCCCTGGGTGTTCTGGGACAGCAAGGAGTCCAGTGTAACTGGAGTAGCATGAAAGAGGGAAAGAATAAATTTAGCTAAGAGATACTGATGACTTGAAGATGAGCTCAGCAGGGAAGTCAGAAGTCATAAGATTCTCACCTATTTTATAAACTGTATAAGCTTATACTGTATTTAATAATCTGGTTTAAAGACACAGATGATGAATTGGATGTGAGAGAATCAAGAGGGTGAAGTTTGACTCTGGTTTTGGGCCTAAGCAACTGAAAGGATGGAGTTGCCATTTACTGAAAAGGGGACATCTAGAAGAGGAGCAGATTTAGGTGGCGCTGCTGGTTGGCAAGTCATTTTGGGATGTTAGGTTTGTGTCTAGCTTGTTGTGTATGAATCTAAAATTCAGGTGAGCGTTCTAGGCCAGATGTTAATTTGGGAATCACTGGAAAATAGATAGTATTTAAAGCCCTGAGATTGTTTGAGATACCCAAAGAAGTGGGTATAGGTAGAAAAGAGACCCAGTCCAAAGACTGAGCACTGCTACACTACAGTTTTCTAGAGTTGCACAGCCCAATATAGTAGCCACTAGCCATATGTGGCTATTGAGCCCTTGAAATGTGACTCAGTTGAAAAGTGCTATAAGTGTAAACTACAGCAGATTCTGAAGACTTAGTGCCCCTAAAGTAAAATATCTTATTACTAATTTTTATATTGATTATGTGTTGAAATTATAATATTTTGGAGGTACTGAGTAAGGTAGTCAGGGCACTGAAAATAATTACATGCAGTGAAAAAGAAAGGAAGGTAATAGAGAAGTGGGAATACCATTTTTATTCATGTTCTCATATTCCTCATTAGAGAGAAATTGAAAATCCTTAAACAAAAAAAATTCCTACTAGCATAATGTATGCACATACATGTACATACACACATATATATAATTCAGTGGAGGAGAAAGAACCTAGTCTTAAGATATATGAATCTTAAGTCCTATTTCATCAATTAACTAGCAGACAACTTTGGACAAAACCTATTAACTTCTCAAGAGATTTAGTTTCCATATCTGTGAATAAAAGATTTGAATTAGGTGATTATTTTTATGATTCTTTTGAAATGGACTTTTTTTTTTAATTATATGTGGTTTGGTCTTATGAAATGAAATTGTTCTATAAAATAATTTCAGTGATGTTAATAGCAGTTAATCTTGAACTTATTCTAGGAAGATTATTGGGAAAGTTTTTTGCCAGATAAGTAGAAAGGAAATTTTGATTTTTTTAAAAAACATTGTAGATATGTGTTCTAGTAAATTTTTTAAAAAATATATTTTATTGATTTTACAGAGAGGAAGGGAGAGTGATAGAGAGTTAGAAACATCGATGAGAGAGAAACATCGATCAGCTGCCTTCTGCACGCCCCCGACTAGGGATCGAGCCCACAACCAAGGTACATGCCCTTGACCAGAATTGAATTTGGGACCCTTCAGTCCGAGGGCTAATGTTCTATCCACTGAGCCAAACCAGTTAGGGCTGTTCTAGTAAATTTTAATTTGTATTAGTAAGATTGATTGACATATGAAGACATGGAATCATGAATACATAGTGAAGAAAAAACAACCAGCTTTGGAAGTAAACTGATCTAACCCTGTACGATCTTTTGCAAACCAAAGACTTAACATTTTATGTTTAATTGTTGGTGTATTTCTTCTGCAGGAACTCTGGGAAGAATTGAGAGATTTTGACTGCATTTTATAAACTGCTAAAAGCTGGTATAGCACATTGGTACTTCAATTTATAGGTGTTTCAGTCTTAGGAAAAAAAATACAGGCAAGAGTAAGTTTTTGAACCGATATCCTGAGGTTAGAGTGAGTGATGCATGTAGTTTAAAAATCCATCTGGTTATAGAAAAAAGTGACAGCTGCTTCTGTTTTTTTTTTCTCCTGTTTTGTTTTCTTTGAATTTGCTTTGAAAATTGGTGAATTACTTGATGAAAGAGGTTGACTTCATAACAATGTCCTATTTTTCCAACAGTCTGCACATAGAGTAAGCAGAACATCTTTGAGCAACTAGAGTAGCTGAGTAGCTGACAACAAGCTCCAGTGATTCAGGTCCTTTACTCATGGCCTGTTGATTTAAATTGGTAACTTTATGGATCTAATTTTTGGTTCTGACACTTTGAGCTTGGAGACCTTGATCATGTTATTGAATCTCTCCCTAATTCAGTTTCCCCACCTGTAAAATTGAGTTAATATTAGATTGCACCATATGAAATTGTTGTTTTTGTAGATCAAAGATGATGAAATCCAAGCATTCAGATCCTGGTTTCTAATACCAGTCTCTAATAGAAAGAACTGGGCTTCTTGGGAAAATGGCTGATTTTAAAACCAGAGCAGGGAACATACAAGATGAGCCTGGAATATTTTACAGGGCCAGGAAGTTAGGAAGTAGTCAGGAAGTGCTCAAAAATAATATGAGCCAAAGCTGGAATAAGTTGAATAATAAAATAATATTGACTTATACCCCAGAGTATAAAATGAATATCTGTAAGTTCATACTGACATCAATAAATGATTGAATAAATAAATAAATAGGACACAATAGACAAATTCGCTATATAGAAGATTTCCGAATAATTTGTCTAGATGACCCCCCTCAAGGAGGGGAGTATAATTTCCTACTCAAGTGTGACTTCCAAAAAGTACAGTGGAGAAAACCTGGTATACACTACCTCAGCCAAGTAATCCAGGTCAACATCAACAATGACAAGCCGTGCTATTATGTGCCCCTGATATGATGTGATGAAAATGGCACTTTACCTCTGTGGTCTCTTCCTCTTCAAAACTCATAATCCTAGTCTTACCATGAGAAAACATACAAAATACCTGATCAGTACTCTGTCAAGGCCATTAAAAATGAGGTATACCTGAGTATACTTGAGGGATCAAGAGGAACCTAAGGAGACGTAATAGTCAAATGTAATATGCTATCCTGGATAGGACCCTGGAATCGAAAAAGGGCATTTGGTAAAAGCTAAGGAATTCCAAAAAAAGCATGGTTCCAATAGTTATCTGTCAATAATGGTTCATCAGTTATTACAAATGTACCATAATATGTTAATAATAGAGGAAACTGGGTAAATGGCATGCAGGAATTCTCCTTTCTATGCTTACAAATTTTGTCAATTTTTAAAAGAATTCTAAAATAAAAGGTTTATTTCAAAAAACAATTGAATATTGGCATTTCACGTGGTTCAACATAATACTTATAGGATTATTGTGAGAATTAAATTAGATAATATATGCAAATCACTTAACATAGTGCCTGACTCAGGAGAAGTTCAATAAATGGTAGTTTTTATAAGGATGACTTTTATTATTATCATTTATTGTCATTTCAGACAGAATAACTGAAGATTGAGGGGAAAGGTAGCATTTGTTTATTCAGTATCTACTATGTGCCAATTACTGAGTTAACCAGTGGAGGTTTAGTCATAGACAAGTCCCCTGGTCTCCTACAAATTTTGACTAGAATGACAGCAGAGAGAAGCAGTAACTAATAGTTTGCAATAGAGAGAAAAAGGAAAAAAATTTAAGATAAACTTTGCAGAAGTATAAAAATACAGTAACATAGAGGAATAAAGCACACCACTCACCTTAGTAACCCCTGGATGCTCCATGGGTATTTTTTTTAGCTTCAGCACTAGCTAGTCTTTGTAACAATTAGCGATCACAAAAAAATTAGAGTTTTCAAGGGAAAGTGATGAGATTTTTCCATATTCTCTTTAATCAGAAAGTAAAATATGCAGCAAAAATTTTAAAGGAGTAATTTTTATTGCTTGAATAATCTGTTTCAGAATTATTTTAGAGTAGCAAAAACTTGGAAGCAACCTAAATGTCTAACATAGGGAAGACCATAATTAACAGCATAGCTACTGAATGAATACCATTTGACCACTTAAATGTTCATACAGTTCAGTTGGTTGGGAGTGTCGGCCAGCACACCAAAAGGTTGTGGGCTTGATCCCTGGTCAGGGTTGCATATGGGAGGCAACCAATCGATGTCTCTTTCACATCGATGTTTCTCTCTCTCTGTCTCTCCCCCTCCCTTCCATTCTCTCAAATAAATAAGTAAGTAAGTAAGTAAATAAATAAATAAATAAAATCAATAAAAATATATCCTCACCTGGCCAATGTGGCTCAGCTTGCTCATATATCAGAAGGTTACTGGTTCAATTCCAGGTAGTTAGGGCACATGCCCGGGTTGCAGGCTCCATCTCCAGTAGGGGCGTGCAGGAAATAGCCCACGGATGTTTCTCTCCCATGGATGTTTCTATCTCTCTTTCCCTCTCCCTTCCTCTCTCTAAAATCAATAAAAACATATTAAAAACAAAACATTAAAAAGTATCCTCGGATGAGGATTAAATAAATAAAATGTTCATATAGGAACAAACATATAAGAGCAGAATATAAAATTAAAAGGTAGATGCAGCCTGGCCTGCACGGCTCAGTGGTTGAGTGTCAGCCTGTGAACCAGGTGGTCACAGTTGGATTTCCAGTCAGAGCACATGCCTGGGTTGCGGCTTAGATTCCCCGTGAGGGGCGAGCAGGAGGCAGCTGATCAATGATTCTCTTTCATCATTGATGTTTCTCTCTCTCCCTTCCTCTCTCAAAAGCATATGAGGAAAGGTAGAGGGAAAATTCAAAAATAAAAATAGTAATTAAGATTACATCTCAATCATACTGTGTTAGTTGTATGTGTATTTTTTTGTTAATGAACCAGGCCATATTAAGTCCTACTTAGGAAGCTAGACAATCCTTGCCTCATTTTGGAGCTGCCCTACAGATACTGATGTCAGGCCTTGTAAGGTTTGCAAACCCCTTGGCCTTCTTCCAAATAGATAACTAAAAGGTCCACCACCGATTTAAAACTTTTATTTGTTATTTTAAGATTATGAGAATACATTCTTGATTACTGTGTGTGACATGTATGAGTTTTGTTTTCTTTGTTTTTTCAAAAATTCTTGGAAATTCACTTCTCAATGAGGTTATATTAATACCGATACAATATGTTTGGATAGAAAGATAAAGTAATGGTTCTTTTTATTTTTCTTTTACAGAAAAGAGCTGATCCTCTCTGGCACTTTAAATCCAATTAAGGATTTACATCTGGGAAAACTGGCCTTAACTAAGTTTCCAAAGAGTCCAGAAACATGGATTCACAGGTGTGGTTAATGTACACCTTAGGATTCTTACGTAGGATTCAGAATGGCTGGAGAAAACACAGTGTGAAACCAGGTCACATACTGGTTCAGAGGATGAATTTTAAAGTCATGTTATGTTTAAATCTTGATGCCAACACTTGCTACCTGTGTGATTTTTAGAAATTATTTAACCTCTTCAAGCCTCAGTTTTCTCTTTTGTAAAATGGGAATAATAATTACACCTATCTCAGAGTTAATAGCTAAGTTTATATGAGTAATACATGTAAATACTACCACAGTGCCTGGCACACATTAAATACTCAATAAATTTTAACCATTATTATTAACATTCTTATGGAGTCATGGAAATTGCATTTAGATATTCAAATAGAAAGCTTACGTTTTATAATTAATTCAGTTGTGTTCTTGGTAAAAATGGCGGTGGTGATGGTTGTGGTTATTTAAAATAAGCAAATAAGGAAAATAAGTGCAGCTGAAATGAATGGTATATGGGTAAGCAGAGGTTGCTAAGACCATAAATGCAAAGAATATTTTTAGGTTAAAGGCCTGAGGCACATAGCCAAAGTGCACATAAGAACTCTTTTTACTATCCTGGCTGTCTGGAATCATCTTTCTTTTGAACTCCATGTAACTACTGTAATGACTAAAAGGATAGGTGTGAGCTTGCTGGTTGGGTCAGTGGAAAAATTCTCTGAAGAAGTCCGTTCTCAGTTTATTAAGCCATTTAAAACTGCTTAAATTCTGAGCATTTTTTAAGATCTTACAGTAGTTGAAAATATCTTAGCTATAATCTTGCCTTTGGCTAGCATTGCCAATGAGCTACCTCCAAACCATCTAATCAGTTGTATTTTCTTTCTTAGTGGAAATTGTGATAGCAGACTTCAGAGGTATATGATTGTGTGTGTAGAGGTCTGGAAAGGGATGGTGGCAGGGGAATGGAATTATTAAATATGCATCGGTCAATCTGTTGGCTTGGCTAATATTTTATAAAGCAAGGTTTTGTTAAGTACTAAAACTGTTATTTGAAAATGAAAAAATTAGTTTTCCTACTCAATTTCTTGTACTTTTATGTTAGAAATTTTTAATCTAAAGTAATGCTTTATGAGAAAATATTTGTTAAAACCTAAAGACATTAAGTGGTTGAGACACGTTATTGAATTTCATTTAAATGTATGCAAATGAAAATCTTAAAAATAGACAAGGGGAAAATCTATAGATAAAGACCTTTTAAAACCTTGATGGTCTCACTAATTATATTTATTTCCTCTAGATTCTATACTATAATATGGAAATTTTGCTTAATGAAAGCTGTCATAATGCAGTTTCTAGTTTGCAAACAAATACACATAGGATGAGGCATTCATATGTAATTAAATACAGAACCATGATTCCTCTTCTAGCATTTACCAGCCATTAATTATATCTGCTTTCCCACCAACTACCACTACAACACACACACACTCACTCACCAGTTGACTTCACATATCTTCAAATGGAGTTTAGAGTTGTCATTTTGTAACTGATGGCATTTTCTTTTTGACAAATTGTAACATTTTAGAAAGATTTTTCTTCCTCTTGTCTTTCCTCTTTTTAAATGCTGCTAAAGTTAACTATGTCTTTAAAACAAAAACAGTTCCCCCGAATCCCCCCAAGACACACACACACACACACACACACACACACACATTGGGATTATAGACAGGTATTATTTTCATTATCTGTGAATGGAAATTAAATTAAGAACAAGAAAATTTTGTTTTTCTCTCTGGTTTATGTTCTTTCCTCATTCTCTTTCCCACATGCTACCCTACCAGACGATGGGTGCTACAGCAGCTACTTCAGGAAACCTCCTTGCCTTCCTTTGTGACCAAAGGAAACTTGGGAACAATTCCTGCAGAAAGGACACAGCGACTAATACGAGAAGAGATGGAGGTCTGTGGTGAAGCGGCAGGGAGATACCCAAGCAACTATAATGCCTGGTCCCATCGCATCTGGGTTTTACAACACCTGGCCAAGCTAGATGTCAAGGTAGGGAGTTTTCACTTCTGGCAGATTTTAGGCCAACGATTTTAGAGGAGTAGCCCTTTCCTCTGCCTAGCACTCTCCATGCCTGCCCTTTAAATCTCCTGGTCGCAGTTCCTCCTCAAGGGTTTTAAAGGAGGAAAGAGGAGGATCTAATGGCAGCCCAGCAGTCTAGAGAGGATCACGACAGCTGATACCTCCAGGGGGTCCTGGCAATTAAAACAAAGTTGTGTTCCTCACCAGCATATTTTGGCACTGTTAAGGCTAGTGCATTGGCAGAACAAAGGCAGGTTTAAGCAGTAAGGAAGACTGAGCATAACTCATTTTGCCCTGAAACCGGAAGGGATTGCGGAGCATTGGAGAACTGAAATTGTTTTTTGCTTGATAGCCTCTGCTTATGTGACTTTCTGAGTCAGCTGGCTGCCTGTTCAGTCTCTCTTGGGAAGGAAACAAGCTTTCACTCAGGTATTCCCCAACTTGGCTGAGTCTATAAAAATCCTGAGGTTTCCTAGGTGCCACCCCAGGCCTACTAAATTGGAATGAGGGTAGGATTTAGAGATCAGTATGTTTCACAAGCTCAGGGGTTATTTGGATGCAAAGCCAGGTTGGAAACTGTCACAGCCTAATCCTTTCAGTTTAGAAATAAAGAGATGGAAGTTACCAGAGAATTTTAATGGCTTAGACTTAGCCACAGCATTACTTATTATTCATCAGAGGGAGAACCAGGTATCCTTGTGCTCCTTGCATACTATAGTTATTCTAATTTCTTCTTCCCTTTTTATGATATCAGTGTCATCAGCATTGAGGGTACTTGTCTAAAAGCTTCCCAGTCTTGAGACAATTTAAAGACGTCAAAATGCTTTCAGATTAAGAGACACTGTTCTCTAATTTTTATGCACCACTGCCTTCTTTATATATCTTTCATAGGTTCCCTCTCCTCTCTGTTTCCAAGATAGAGATTCCTCCAAGAGAAACAAGAGAGTTTTCACTTCTGGCAGATTTTAGGCCAACGATTTTAGAGGAGTAGCCCTTCCTCTCTAGGTGATATGGCTCTATGCTTCAGGAGGGGAGACGCCTAATGGAGAGGAAAGAGCTAAGACAGAATTACGTTGATCTGGGCTTAGAGTCTGGCCCTACTAGCTGTCTGTGGAAAGTAAGGCTTTAATGTTTTCATCTTAAAACAGGAGCTTTACTTTCTGCCTTGGTGGATTATTATGAAAATTACTTAAGTTAATGTGTGTAAAGTACTGGGCACCTAATAGTAGAGGCTCACTAAAATTTAGTTCTTTTCTCTGTTCCCCACAGAAAGGAAATGTAGGTGAAACTGGCTACCAGATTGCTAGGTCAACTCACCGCAATTTGCTCATGAAATAGTACTGAAACCCAGTCATTCCCAGACTGTGGTGTAAAGACAGAGCTTGCTCTCAACAAATTGAACATCTAGTTGAGGAAGCAGATACCAACAGTTACAGAGCAATGTTACATTTGCAGGAACCAGGGGAAGCTGCAGGTTCAGTGGGAGCACAGAAATTACTCCTCATCCAGGCTGGGCTCATGGGAGTCTGGAGGAATGATTGCAAGTTATCTGGTGGGTTGAGGGAGCTATTCCGTGCTTAGAGCCAGTCACTTTCGCTCCATGGCTTGGTAATGTGTGGGGGTTGAGGAGAGTTAAGGAAAAAGAGGAAGGCCAAGTCCAGGTGAGCTGTGAAGTCTTCGGAAGCTTTCCTGCCTAGATATGATCCTTTTATGGTGACATTCTCACAAAATCAGGAACTTGGGGCCAAGGTGAAATTCTTGGTTACTTTAGACCATCTGGTGTTGAAGACGGTGTGTTGACTCAGCTGTTTGAGTCCACTGCTAGGCTCACAATCCTAGGCTCACATGCTGTCAGCCAGCCTTGCCCTTGGGGAGACTGCTTTTCCTGTCATCACTGCCATTGTGGTGTCTCTTGCTCTCAGTAAAGAGTGCTGACATTGCAAAATCCCCTTTCTGCTCTTATAAGCCATTGAGCAAGGAGATCATGCTTTTTCTGTCAGAGAAAGTAATCATAAAAGTACCAGTAGCCTAGAGCAGCTTAAAAATACATATAAAATGAACTGGCCTTTTTTTTTTTTAACTAGAAAATGCAAAGTGATTTCTTAAAGTGTTGATATCTTAGAATTGATGAGGTTATGGAAACAAGCATTGAAGAAATTGCTATAATCTTACTGAAGGTCAACATGTCTAATCCTGCAGTTCTGCCTCTAGGAATTCATGCTAAAGAAATAATGGGAGATGCAGCATGGTGTAGCAGCAAAAGGTTCCACTCAGTGGTCATGCAGACCTCATTTGAATACTGCCATCAATTTGCTGTGTGCCCTTGAGGAAGTGTCTTAGCCTCTCTAATCTTCAGTTTCCTCATCTATAAAATGGGAAAGATGAAAATTCCTACTACATCGAGTGATATAAATTAAATGGGAGAATCCACATAAAGTGGTTATCGCAAGTGCTTGTACTAAGCACTCAACAAACATTGATTATATTAAGTATGGATATTTGATAGATGAAAGTACTGTTTATAATTGTGAAAAACTAGTCTAACCCACCAATAATGAGGGTTTAGTTACAGTCCAATCTATCACATGTTATAATATTTTGTTGTTAGTAAAATTGTATTTTGGAAGATAAGAAAAATGTTCATTATAGTTTAAGTATATAAAACTAAATATGAGATGGACCTAATATAATTTCTTAATATATCATTAGCATTGAATGTGATTTTAAAGTGTTTAGAACAGTGCCTGGCATATTGTAAGTGTTCAACAGATATA